ATAACTATATTTTTGGCACACCTCATGCTGTCCTCTTGTGTGCATCTGAGTCCAACTGGGGACGCTACAGCCACAAAGGTGACCACCACCTCACAGGAGAGTTTACCAAGGCCAATTAAAAAAGCACCTCCCCATCTCTCCTCCACCTTTCCTTCCTACATGGAGCCAATTCTTCTCCTCCAAAAGTCACCGGCTGTTCTGAGCACACCACAAGCTGCTCAGAACAATTTCTGGCTCCTCTCTGTGTCTTTGGAAAGTACCTGCTTTATCACTGGCTGTTTCTGCAAATAGATCTATACCAAGTCATGTGGCTTTGCTTATTTGGCTTCAGGTTTTCTGCCTACACAGCAAATTTGGGCTCCCATCTCAAAGGTAAAGGCAGATGATACTGTCCACCCTGTCATAGCAGGAGTTCAGTTATTCTTCAGCAAAGCATGGAAAAAGTGTGCAGTTTCCCAAATGCTAGGATTCTGCAGAGCCTGCACACAGGATGAAACACTCTTGTAAGGTATTACCCTATGATGCTTAAGCAAAGCTCTGTCACAATGTCACCCAGCTAATATCCAAGTGAAAGGGGAGCTGCTTATGCCAGCATTGATTCATGACCAATGAAAGGGCATAGCATGCTGCTGCCTGTGATCAGGAAGTGTAGCCAGCAGGTTTTGCTTGTACATGCCCACTCCCAACCCAAAGGGAGGAAACCTGCTGTTTCATTATTGTCTATCAGTAATGACAAGCACTGGGCACAGTGAGTTTCCACCTTTGTGCTGCATTGCAAGCATTAACATTGGCGAGACTCCTATCTGATAATTGCAGTCCATTTACCAGCCCTGTTTGATACATGTGGAAGCCAATGAAGAAAGATGAAGTGACACATGCAGTGCTCCCAACAAAAATCCCTTTAAAGCTAGGTGCTCTGGGTGGCTGGAACTAGACCCTGGTCACCAAAATCCAACCAGATACAGCACCCAGTAGATGATGCTGCCATGTCCCATGCTCTCCCCTCCCTTCCATGCCCCAACTCATTTCTGACAGTTTTCCTCATCCTCTTCTAAAAATAGGTATATGTTTTTCTACATAACCGGTTGCATTGTTTTGTTTTGTTTTGTTTTTTTAATTTCTTTTTTTTTCTGGCATCACCCCAAAACCCAGGACTATGTCTGAGGAACCAGGTTTCCAGCAGATCCTGCAGAGACTAGAGGATTTCAAGGTTGTTCCTGAAGCCTCTGTTATCAGTGAGATTTGTGAGGCTGGGCCATACCACACTGTGCTGAGAATACAAAGCCAGAAATGAAAGAGGAAAGAACAGCTTGTGTGAGAAGCCTTTTACTCAAAAGGAGGGAGTGAGCCACAGTGAATGCCATCAACACATCAGTGTTGTGAAATCCTGAGGTCACCAATTATCCTGGCCATGGGGTAAGGGATGAGCAGAACAGGCAGGACCATAGTCTGGTGCACCTGCAGGTATGTTCCCAACTGCTCCAAAAGAAGAGAGCTCCTGGGTAAAACAGCCTAATGACCATTATTTCCAGGAGCACAAGCAACTTATCTGTAAACATCACTCCCCCAAACAGGCATTAGGTTGGGGGGGGGGGGGGGGGAAGGGGTCTTTGGAGAGAGGGACTAATTATATAGCACTCAACAGCTGGACTTTGATCATAATTACAGTGCCTTCTTCATCTTACATTAGTGGCTTTCAGCTGTAGATAGGTGGGCACTTTGTGGAAGGTGGAAATCCTGTCAGTTTCAGAGAGCTAGCTCATTTTATGACTCAGAGGTAGCACAGGATGAGCTCCCATGGTACTATCCAAACAAGTAACTCATGGGGGTCAGTGACTTTAACACTTCAGTATAGGTGCTTCTGTCCCTACAGCAGCACCTTCCCAGGCTCAGGAGCCAAAGCACTGAGCATACTTAAGCACTGATTTCAAGCATTTCATGCAAATCTCTTTATAGGAGAAGCAGAAGCAGAAAAACTTTGAGGGTTTTGCTCAACTCTGTTATTGCTGAATTTTAGCATCTCATCTCTCTCTGTTTAGGAAGAAAAGTGAGCACACTCAGGATATACCTGTCTAACCTCAGTTCTGACATTCACATACTACATTTGCATCCCTCGCTTCTGCACAGGGATGTACATCCCTGTCAATGCCCAGTGCCCTTCTTCCAGCTGGGCTGCAGCTACAGCACTAAACTCCAGTGACCGCAGTGACAAGCAGGGTTGTGAAGGAGGCTGCTGTCCTGTACCCCAGCTGAGTTGCTTGTACTTTTGTGTGATGCAGGGAGTCCTTTGCTTTGATACCAACATTTACAGAGAAATAAATAGACTAAATGGGAGCTGGGCTGATGAGACAGAGGCTAGAGTAGCATAAACAGTAATACACAGTACTGGGAGTCTGGGCACCCAGCTGGTTTTCCTCATTTGTATCACTGAATTACTGTGTTGTTTGGATAAATCCTAACAGTAGCACAGTTCCACTGCTGTGAAATGACAGGCAATAAGTATACAAGCATTATAACGGCATGTTAATTAACGCTCTTAAGCATGATCTGTATTCACCTCTTGACAGAGGAAATGTTTCAGCTGGCTCCCACATCATCTGCCTGCTGGACGCCCCGAAGTGAAGAGATTAACAGATGAAGCAATGACAAAGGGTAAATTTAAGCCACAAATCTTAGACCTAGCTGAAATTCATAATTTATTGCCCCTCCACACTGACCTATAGGGAAATCTGTGTGACACACCCACCCATTTTAACAGGGTTTCAAACACTTTTTACTATTGTTATTTTGCCAGCATGCCTCAGCTCAATGATACAATTTGCAGTTTAGATTATTACTACATGTAATTTTAGAGTTGCAAAGAAGCACCCTGGTATTAGCTAAATAAAGCACTTTGACCGCATCAAAGCTAAAGTGTTTCAAACTGTGTAAAATAAATGCAATTATAAAACTATTCAGTTTTGTTGAATCAGCCAGACAAATGTCACCCAGCACGTCATGAATATCTGACCAACAGAGCCTATAGCTGAAGACCATCTATATCTTCAGACTGAGTAAAGTATCTCAGCCACTGGACAAATGCCGCTCTCGGCTCATGTAAACAGACATGCATAACAGCTGAGACATATTACTCTGAGCTACATCTTGATCAGGTTTTATGACTGAAGGGTGTCACAAACTCTATCTGTCCCAAGCTGTCCTGAGGCTTCCCACACTGCAATAGTCACTTAAAAACTCATCACGCTGCCAAGGCATGTGGAAAGGAGCAGCATTTCTACTGAAAGGCCTGACTTGCTGGAGGATGCAGGTTTGAAGGGAGAGAGGCCCATTTAAGAAGTTCTACAGAATGCAGGCAAGGGATTATTTTTTTCTTTAATTCCTGCTTCAGATGGGTTTTATTTGCCTGAGCTGCAGCACCAGTTTCATGAACCTGTTCTTTAACATGGGATGGGATGTGATTGGCAGGAGTTCACAGGGGCTGGGAAGCTGTCCCAGAGCTCAGCTACCCTTCCCAATGCATCTTTATGATTTATTTATTCTTTTATTTATTTTTTTTTAATTTTATATTTGGGAATTCTCCTGGCTGTGGCTTCCAGCCACTGAAACTTATTTGTCTGCTAGAGACCCCACTGCTGCCAGCCCAAATCTGCCTTCCCAGGTGGGCATGGCTCTCATACTGCTCTTCTCCCAGACACATGCACATCCCCACAGGATCAGCGGGGCTGAGTGGATTTGCAGGAGATCAAAGCATGGCTGCATGTGCCTGACCAGCCCTGGGGCTTGTGTTGTGGAAGGTCTTGCTGGGGAATCCAATATCCCCGGCTTCATGCCATATTCCTCTGCCACAGCAGCACAGCCAAGGACCGCGTCCTATTTCCCAGCTCCTCTCCTCTCGTTCCCCTTTGCTGGCCCCAAATATGGCCCCACCTCACTGTCAGGTCTCCAGACTCCTCCCCAGGATCTTCAGTGGTGGCACCAAGCATCCAGCAGACTGAAGGGGTACTAACACCCCAACAAACATTGCAACACATCGTGATATCATGGGGGGAAAAAGAGATCACAAAGCTGCCTGTAATGCTGTGGCCCTTTCTTCAACAGACAGCTATACAACACAAGCAGCCTTCCCCAGTACCCTGCAGACGATGCAGAGTTAATAGTTAACCCTTCCTGGAATCAAATGCCTTAGTGAGACACCAAGCAGGGCTTTTTCAAAATACAGCCAGAAACTAGCCTTAAAGTAGCTTGACAAGTGACTGTGTTCAGAGGATTTCACCTCTCTGAACTTTATGACTGGAAAAATACCATCTACATGTCATTTACATGTTTAAATATAGTATCTTCCATTGGGAGAAACAAACAAACTGACAATGTGATACTGTGATACCTCCTGAAGACATGCTCTTTTATCTGCTGGAAAGTTATAAAACTCAGCATAACAACAAAGCAAAAATTAGAGTGGTTGTCAGGCTCTGAGATTGGCTGTTAGACAGAATGAAAAAATACTCTTGGAAAAGACTCTCAGAAGGCAGTTGTTTTCTTCTCCAAATCTTTTAAATGATTTATTTATTCTTTATATTCCAAAATCTCAGAGTTTAATAGTTAAGCTCATATTCTTTCCAGGAGCTTTTTCATTTAAAGGAACAAATAAACACACTACAGAAAGCTAAAGCAATTCCTGCACTACCCAAAGCAGAGTAACTGTCTGCTCCAAAACACGGGGAAAAGATACTATCAGCTTTCGTGTTATTTAGCTTGGGTATTTTTTTTCTCTAATGCCAAAGAGGAAAAGGGAGATATCTGAAACGGATGCCTATAATTAAACAGTAACCTGTTAGAAAGCCAAAAATAATAATAAGCTCCACTGAGCATGAAGAGAGCAGCACATTTTTTCTGCATGCAGCCCAGCTGCCACCGGATGATAGCAGAAAAGTTAACAATTACACAAGACACTCAGATCAAACCTGTGATAGGAGAGAGTTACGTCACACTCAGAAACTCACCGCTGGATGCAGGGATCAGGGTAGTACTGCAAGGTGGTGAAAGGTGGTGGTTCAAAATTCATTTCCTTCGAGCCCCTCTTTGGGCACAAACCAAAATAAAATAAATAAATAGATATAAAGCCAGCAGGCTAAATGCAATAAGGTCAAGTGGTACATGAGGTACAACTTTAGAGATTTATTTTACACTTGCGAATGGGTGGGATCTCCCAGGGGCTTGGCCAATGGGATTCATCAAGTGACCTGAGCATCACCACCAGTCCCTCCTCACCAGCTGGGCATCTTCTGCACAGATACTTTCCCCTCCTCTCAACATCCTTAATAAACTTTGTTGCACGCCAGCCACACTTGTTGTTGGGAGCTCATCTGGGGCATCTCTGAACTTCTGATCTCACCAGTCATTGGTTGCCTTCCTGCCTGACTTCACAGTTTAATTTTGGCAGCTCTTGCAATTTTACAAACTGCTGTGGCCGCTGGTCATCCTCGTCTCCAGATGGCTGGAGTTTCCTCTTCTGGGTGCAGCTCCCGTGCTGCATTTCATTGTGCTTTGAAAGCTTTCCTTGTCAGCTCTGTGGCTAGTACCTGCGCAGAGTTGCCTGGGGAAATTCTCAGTTTCTCTCACACCATAGTTCAAACAGTCTGTTGTGGTCACAGTTTCAAAAGCTGAATGACAAAACATGGGGAAATTCCTCAATTAAAATTAACTCTGAACTTTTGCTCCTCTGCCTCCCCTTCCTGTCCTCCTCCCCCCAAGAAAACTTACAGTTGTGATTGTTAATGATATTCTCTATATCTTTTTATTTTCAAAGAGAATCGAGACAATATAGAAATCTGTCATTGTTTTAGCGGTCTGTAAATAACATATACATTTTCCATATGAAAAGCAACAATATCTCAGTATCTTCAAATATCTTGAGAAAAATGTAAAAGTAAGAAGGAAATAGAAATCATATGTTTTTCAGGCCCCTAAACCTAAAGAAGCAAGAGTTAAGGGAAGCCCACCAAAATAAACTACCAAAGATGAAGACTGAATTTTCCTGAAAATAAAGGATAAAAACCAGGAAGAAAGTCTTCAGCTCCTGCCCTCCCACCCCTTTTTTTAAGTAACACAGAAAATTATTCAGGAAAGCAATCTGTTTTATCCCCGTTTTTCCCCCTGCATGGTTCATCCAAATAGTACAGGCTGTAAACCTATCCTGGTTTTGTGGGTTTGGAGAATGAATGAAATATGAATCAGGAGCTAAATTAAAATGGATTCCAGCAGGAAAAAAATAGCGTCCATGTATCTATGCACCAGTGGGTTTGCATCTTCAAGCAGATGTATATGTTTGTGTCTACAAAGACAGGGGAAGGGGCTACCCTACAGCTCACCTACAGTGCATCTTTCATGCCGGTGTCAGCACAAATGCCAACCTCCCAAGCAAAAGCCAGGAGCTGTCTGAGATGGCAGCAATTGCTTCTTGTTTCCCCCTCTCTGGGTTTTCCTTGTAGGAAATTTTGGTTTGAAGAATGTCATGTGGAAACATTTTCTTTGCTGCCTGTGCCAGGGTGGCAGGGGAGCTATTTCAGACTTGACATTCTCCACCCACACTCAGCCTGATAGTTCCCAACATCTGTGAATTGTGAATCCTGTAAACTCGCAGGGCTGATTCCTGGCCAAGTCCAAGCAGCTTTTGCTACAATAAGTGGCATTTGCCACGGAAGAGAGGCTGAGAGCGAAGTACGTATTTATTAACTGAAGTTCAGGTTTCTCTCACTGCTGGACACTGCTTCCCCTGCCTGGCCTGTGGAGGAGCAGCAATAGGAAACACCTTCCTTCTCTTAGGCTGAGCCCTGGAGTAAACACCATGCCTTGTAGCCTGCATCATTGGAAAAGAAATGTGAAAATGTCCAAGACAGGCTGGGCTGCAGAGGGGAGAGGGGGAATCACACCAAGGCTTGTGTACAGACAATACAGCCCAGGGAACACAGCCGCAGAACAGCTGCATCCCCTTCTGTTGCTGAGATCAGGACTGTGCTTAACCTTGTGCAGCCACCTCTCCTGAGGTGGCAAATATGTCCAGGGATTTGGCAAGGAGGGCCAGAGGCCATCGCAAACTTGTAGCCTACACTGCTAGTCTGGCTCTGGTCTAGGCTTTGGATATCCACCCTTAAGCAAAGACCCAGTGGGCATGTCCTCTCCCTGGACAAACCATTTGAGCAAGAACTTGGGTTCATGCTCACTTGTTCCAGGACTCAGTTTCAACAGGCACCTGTGGGTATGAGTATAATCTGCTTGGCTGTGGAGATATGTGCAGGCACTAGGCTGAGCTGTGGGTACACTGCTGAGACCTCATGTTTCCTTCTAGACACAAACCAGAAGTTTGTTGTATTTCTTCTACTATGCCCATGGTGGGACTAGCCATTACCTCTGCAGGCCTGTAGAACGGCCATTTATTCTGTGCTCTCCCAAAAGCCTGGGAGAGCTCATCTTTTCTGATGGATTTCAGCCTTAAAGGCATGAACCACATGCAAAAGAAATGCTGTGTGAAAATGGCTCTTCTTGTGAAATCCTGCTCTACCTACTTCTCCATGGGAGCTGGAGAAGGGTCTTTCCCAGCATTGCCAGAGTCCCCCAGCCAGCACATTGGAAGTAGGGGAAAGCTGGACAACTCCTATCCAGAGGCTCTTACCCACTCTCCTGCTTCCATTGTGTTGGCTCTGGCACTCTGGCTGGCCTTTACCTCCAACGGTGAGCCTGACCTCTGGTCTTCACTACCTGAGCTCTGCACAGTGTATGCTGAACACATCTAGCAATCCTGCAGTCAAGAAGAGGTAGTTAGTCTCCAGCTCACAATTCAAACCAAAAGAAAAAACTTCTCCTGAAAAAAATATGCAACTAAACCTAATTAATTTTAAAAAGAAGCACCACATAATTGTAATGAGAAATAATTGCTTGGAGCAGTGCTCTCACTCACAAGACACTGATGAGAAGGGGTGTCTAGCAAGGACATTTCCATAAAGCTTCAAAAGAAACTACCAACTGCCCAAGATCCTTAAGAGCCCTCATGCCTGGGGCTGGGCAAATGCAAATCTCTCACGGTTTGGCTCATTTTGGCAGTGCACACAGCACCTGGCTGCTTTTCCCAGAGAGCTGGACATTTTCAGCCTCCCACAGAAATCTGGACATGCTCTGAAGTAGCTTAGAAGGCCTATGTTTTGCTTTTCCCAGCTGTAAAGCAGAGCCATGAAAACCCACTGGTGACAGTGCATTAAAACCACCTGCAAAAGCCAGCAAATCTTCTGATTTCTCTCCCCAGCCGCAGCTTCCTTCCTTCCCCATGTTCACAGCCACATTCAGCTGTGGGTTGATTCACCATAAATTTAGGCAGAAGTATCTACCATTGCAGTTAGACCGTGTCAAACTCCTCTCAGCTGCAAGGCGCTCCTTTGCATAGCACAGGATGCAGTGGAAACACAAGCCACAGGGTGTGTGCGTGTGTGAATTGCCAGTACCCCATACATAGCTGGGAGGCTCTCAAGGCTCAGTGGTATTTGGCCAACCTCATTTGCACTGCCTTAAAGAAAATCTACTGGAAGATGGAGCCTGAGACACTCAAGAGCTGATGATCTCAGAAATGGTCTAAGTGAGTTCATGAGGACTAGCAAACTATCATGGCAGCCTGGGAGCACAAGCAAGGGGACTTCCAGTAGCAGACCTCAAGGTAGCCAACTCAAGAGGAAAAGGAGTGTGCGATATCCTCAGTGTCCACCACCCTTCCTAGGAGAGTTTCCTTGTTGGTAGCAAGGGTGATGCTAAATGGCAGCAGGCACGTGTCCTGCAGAAGCAGGGCGGAAGCCTGGGTGTCAGAGATCTGTCTGGCTAGCGGATTTACAGCCAAGCTTCTAGTGCTTGTGGTAAGCAGACGGCACGGGGATATGCGGAGGAAGCATGTGTGTAGGTGGGCAAGAATGCAGGGCATCGCTCTGCCACTGCTGCTTGCACGTCTGGGAGAGAAAAACAGCCAAAGAAACAGCTGTGGACTACTCTCCCATTACTCCTCCTTGCACCCTCTCTACAGCTTCCCCTGAAATGACCACGAGCTTATGTTTTAGCAGAGGCAAACATTTATACCCTCGGGAGGAGACTGCTGGGGATTGATAATGGTCTCACCACCACCCCCCAAACCCAGTGCCAGTATGCGTGTGTGCCAGCCCATTCCTGAACAAGGGTGAAAGGAAAAGACAGCTTCCTGGCATTTATGTGGCTCCAGTTCTAATCTATGGGCCTGAGGACCTCTGAGCAGCTTGGAGCTGGGGAAGACAGGGAAGGGGAGATGCCAGCTTTGCTCTGAGACACCTTTGCAACTGCTGGCTTCATGACTTGCCCGGATTCAGCCCCACCCTTTGCAGCAGGGGATGAAACATTTCATTCACAGCTTGGGGTTTCCAGGGGAGTGGTTGTGGTCGTTTTGGTTGGGGTTTTTTAAGTTAAAATGATTTTAAGAGCAAGAAGTCTGTGGGATATTTGGGGATTTTTTTTTGTTAGAAAAAGATGATGAGAGGGAAATAATTTCCTCCCACCAGCAATAAAATGCCTTCAGCTTGGCTAACCAAGGGAACAGAAAGACACGATGTCAGTGTTCCATTGAGAAGATTTTCCAATTGCAACTAAATATTACAGATGTTTGAAGATCTCAAATATATGAAGATTTTAGAAGTTTTGTGAACAGAAGAAAATAGAAGAAAGAAAACTTTTCAGTAACTTCAGTGAAGGGAAAGAGGCAACAAGAGTACAACCCTCACAGGCTTTGGAAGATCTATTTGAATGCTGCAATGGTGGAAATAGCTTCCATACCAATTCACATCTTGCTTCCAAGCAAGCCAGTCTCTGATCCCACTGCTCCAGAAGTGCCAGCCTTCTAGCTTTGGGCACATACAAGCTTTCCTCTGCCTCCCATACTGGGAAACAATGGACAGGGAAAATAGCAAACTGAAATAAATTAATAAATATAAATACCACAATTCTACACACAATCTTCCCTATTCCTCCAGCACCTTTTGTCCCTAATGCAAGCAGAAGTCAGTAACAAATGTACTTATACCCCAGCCCCTCCATGCTGGCACTGCCAGGCATAGAGAGCTCAGGGCTGCTGGTGGGACACAAAGAGTTGCAGCTCTAGAATAGCATTGTGCAGATGAAGCTGCAATGTCTGCATCTCAGGGCATGCTTGGTCAACAGTGGCTAAGCATGGGCCCGGAACAAGTGACAACTCAGTGAGTGAACAGTCCAGCACAATCCTAGGCACATCTAAAAAGAAGCTGACAAAGATGTCTCAATGTACCACTCCCCACATCCTCCTCTTCCAGCTAAGTTTGAACATATCAGTGCTTACAACTGTGGACTTTAAAATACACACCAGATTCAATCTGCTGTCCACATGTGATACCATGCACCTGGAGCCCTGTGCTATCCTCATCTTGGCCATCAGCTGTTATATAGAGCTAGAAAGAAACAAAAGGGATGTTCCAGCCCCATTCAACAGGACAACATGAACTACTTTCAGAGCTTTCTGGTTGCCTTTGGTATCTCCTCCATCATACTCGTAGTGATAGAGCATCATCCAGTCACAGTGAAGGACTGTATATCTTGATGTTTTCCTTTGTAAGTATAGTGAATAGTT